ATGCTTCTATCAACCGTCACTTCTGTACTCTTCCAGCAAGCCATTTGGATCGAGGTTGTAAAGACCATAATTGCGTTATCAATTTCGTCTTCATCCTTGAGAGATATTTGTAGCTGTAAGGAATCTTCGACAAGGGCTCGAAATAATTCCCAGTCTGTCTTGTTACTATACAACCTCGGTTTTCTTTGCGTCTCTAACACATTAGCACTAACTGTTAGTATGACTGGAATGTGATTGGAATTTCCATCTAAGCAAGATTCAATGTGGTAGAAGTATCGAGAAAGACCTTTCATTATGAAAAAGTCCAGAACATCAGGTAGCTTGCTTGGATCGGACGGCCAGTGGGTAGGTTCCGGTGTGGCAATTGTTGTCAGAATGTTATTGTGAACACATTTTTTGAGTTCTCTGCCTCTAGTGGTAATCAGTCTTGATCCCCAATGTACATGCTTAGAGTTCCAGTCTCCTCCAGCTATGAAGCGTGGCCCAAGACTTTTGATGTATGTTGTGAACTGCTCTTCTGTGATCTTGTGTTTTGGAGGGCAATAGACTGATGAGACATTGAAATGACCATCTTTATCTTTGATGTTTACTGAGGTAGCTTGGATAAACTCTGTTTTATAAGGTGGTAATTCACAGTGTTCTATATTAGATTTGATTATAATAGCAGTACCCCCATGTGCCGTACCGTCTGGGTGGTTTGTTGTATATATGTTATAACTTCTTATATTTACGTGGCTACTGTTAGTAAAATGTGTTTCTGATATAAGAAGTATGTCAAGTTGGTGTGTCTTTAACAAAATTTCGACTTCATGTTTGTTGGGTGAGAGTCCGTTTGTGTTCCAGGTTGCTATTTTAATTTTACTTATTTTGAGGACAGTTTATTTACAAGTGTTGTCAAGAGCCCCAACATGGTGCTCATTTGTTGTAATATCACATCAATTTTTTCAGATTGTTTTATAAATATTTGTTCTATTCGGTCATATGTTGGATGTTGGTGAGGTTCTTGGTTAGGTCGTAGGTTGTGAGTCTTCATGGAGTCTTTTAGGGCTTCACTGTAACTTTTTGTTGCACTGTTGTTTTTGGTTGTGACACCTTTTCTTTCTTTATCTCTGTCGTTGGCAGCATTAATAGGCTGCGATTGAAGTTCGGTTCTCCTGGGCAATGTTCTTGTTAATGTTTTTCTTGTCAAAATTTCCTTATAGACTTCACAACCTTTGTAGTTTGCAGGATGTGGACCAAAGCATAGGGCGCATGTGGCCGGAGTGGAACGATCAATTTTGGGACAGTGTTTCGTAGCGTGAGATTCCGCGCATTTCAGACATCGATGTGGTCTCATGCAATAGTTTTTGGTGTGACCATACTGCTGGCACCTTTGACATTGTACAATAGTGTTTCTTTTCTTAGGGTCTTCTATGGTGACAATTTGGTGATAAATACATCTAACTTCCTTTGCAGCTTTGTTTTGAGGCCCAGGATGCAGGTTTACAAAGAACGTAGATGTTGGTTTTTTATCAGGTCCGTACCTTGCATTGATGATTTCACCAACCACAGTGTTTCCGGTTTCTTCAAAAGCAGTTTGTATTGCTTGATGCGGAGTTGTGTGGTGCAGATTTTTGATAACTAGTCTGCAGTTTCTATTTTCTTTTCTGTTGAAGGTATGGCCAATCAGACCCTTTTCTCGAACTGCTGCGATGAGCTTTTTATATGCTTCTATATCTTCACTCATGATCCTGATTTGAGTTTTGTTCACTACCTTGTATGTGAATGTTTCTCTTTTCGCTGCCGTTTCTAAGAATTCAGTCAGTTTATTAACATCTTCTACTCCATATAGTATAATAGGAGGAGGTTTATTGGGTTTCTTTTCTTTAGATTTTTCAGCTTCTTGGGTAAGGGGTAGTCCGCTAAACATGTTAGAGGTAGGAATGATTTCAGGAGACTCTGAATCACGTAACTTTCTCTTCTTCTTTTGATTGACTGGAACTTTCTGCCAGTCTGGCAAGCCAGTCCAGTTTTTGTCTTCTAGCGATACTTCGAGAGTCTTTACTTTATTTGAGCTAGGCTTGATACTTCCAGTTGAGGAACTTCTTTGTCTAGTGAACAGACTTGGGTGAAATGCTTGCTGCATATATTTTTTAGCACCAGTAGCATTTACTGACACAGGGGCTTGGGCATCTACCCGTATCATATTTTTTTCTTGACCAGTCGCATTTCCTTGGGAAACAGCCTGGGTACCCACTGTTTCACCATCTCCAATATTTTGCAAAATTATGCCCCCCCCAGAATACGTGGGGCTGCCTGAGGTAGTCTCAGAGAGGGATTCTCCAGCATGGCTGGTACCCTCCTGGGGTAGTTTTTTTTGTAATTTTGCATCCATAATTACTGTTAGTTTACTCCTGCACGAGACATTTGAGGGATTATTTAGATCCCAAAGGCTCGCTCTAGCCTCTTCTAACCAGTTGCCCAGTTAGGTGTATGGTTATACCGCCATTGCTCGGTCGTCAGAGCCTCGTCTGTTATCTAGCAGGGGGCACCACGGCAGCCAGTTGGTCGCCGCCACCATACGGTGCGTGCAGGTGAGGTTGACAATAGGGCCGGATAAGATGTTTGTTCCGTTCTCCCCAACTGCTACATGCCGTTGTATGACTTTAAACTCGCCGTTTCTGAGCATATTCGAAAAGCAGAGAAACCTGTTTTACCAAGAAACGTGGTTGTCCATCCAGCATTCTGGGAACACCGACATTTAGCCGAGGTGGTACTCCTATGCCAGACTCTCCAGTACCCGCTAAAAGACACGACAGACCCCAGCTAGACACCAAGATATGCCTTTGGATTCGGTACATTCTGATACCATTGGTCATTATCCGATTTGGAAGAAGAACGCCCGGCAGTTATGCCAATATGGTTCCAAATATCGTTCTTTCACATTATGTGAAAAATGTATTTTTTTTATGTTATAATGACAAACTCAATTGTTATAAAGAATTTCACCAAGTTTAAGTTAGTTTTCTCCTAAATGCATACGAAGCCATATATGAAGGAATATTTGTAGGCTGGAGTGCATACGAAGCCATATATGGCGTCGTTTAAAAAGTTCTATAAAATAAGTTAATAATTTTTGGTCTCAATTGGATCTCATTATGTAAGCTTAAATAAACACATTTTTGCAAATAAATATTTTTTATTTCATCTCCTTAAATAAATCATGCAGTAAGGGGTTAAATACTGTTTTTCCAAGAAAGTGTTTAACTTACCGGTGAAACGTTATATTGCTCGGTTTGTGGGATATCGATGACGCACAACCAATTACACTGCACTATTTTGCATAAATAGGCATTGTTTTGCATAAATACCTAATTTACAATTTTCTGCCATGAAAGTTATATAAATTAAAGTTATAAATGAAAATAACCACAAAACTTATAACACTGACAGCTGAACTACTTGCAACTTTGCAAATGGCGGACAGGTGGTACGACCACGAATGTTAATTTAAACTGGATTGTGCAGTGTTTCATTAAAAACGGGCAGAGTGAGAGAGTGAATTAGTAACTCTTCATCTCTGTCTTAGTAGTAGTTTTGTAGGATGTCCACGCGTTTTTAATAATTTCATAAATAGGTAATATTTAATAATGTTTGCATGACCAAATTTAAACATTTACAGATATAATTTTATAAATTTTTACAGATATTATGAATGATTATGTCAGAAATTTAACCGATAAATTAGTTTTTATTTATCGGTAAAGATATTTATTTTGTAGGAAATAAAACAAGTACATAAATGTTATTATAATCATCTATAATGTATAAATCAATTAAAAGGATAGGAAATGTTTTTTTTTTCCTATTAATTGTATTAGAATACAACGGATCACTTTGCCTGGTATTATTGTCCTCCATTTTTCAGCTAGACTTTTATCCTTTGGGATCCTAGAAACATAAGAGCAATTTTGTCATGGTCAGCATAAGAAAATAATTACTTTATAAATATTTATCCAAACTAATGTGTAGGCCATTCCGATATTTTCCAAAATATAATTAAGCTAGTTCTCGTTTTTCATTTTCCAAATAACTTTGTACCTACCGTGAAAATATTGATAACGAAGAATGGCGGGTAGCGTAAGTAAAACTTATAAATGTTTATAATATAAACGTATGAATATTAATTTAAATCAAAGCCTCTTTGATATGGTTTTGTTTCTTGATCGTAGACACCCTATTTCATCACTGTTTAATAAATAAGGAAAACAGCTTACCATACCATTCACTTTTGCAATCAGCCAAGCAAAACAATATACCATTTTGATGTAAATAATCGAATAAGTAAGTCAAAACACAAATAAACATTAAACTTTAACATTGTTTATGTTGTCACATCGAGCGGCCATATTAATTTATAATATTGCTACTTAGATGTAACGAAAAACTACTAACACGACATCGGTTTACATTATAATTTTAATTAATTTACACTTTTACTTAAAAAACATATCAACTATGTCTATTCAATATATTTACTAATAGATAATAAGTAAATTACCGAGTGATGTCTTTAAAAAATCAATAAAATCTCCTAATTGCCAATAACAATTATTTAATTTTCCAATGGCAACTCGTTAGACAAGGACCTACTACTACAAATCTTATATCTCTAGTAGACCGTTTTTCTACTCTGAAATGTGACATAGAAAAATAAACCTTATTTTATATTAGATAAAGTGTAAGTTTGATTTTAAGAAATATATCAGTACGCAATCCAGTTTAAGTTGGGTACGACAGCTATATGTCATGAACGTCACGTCAAAAAAATTTGAACTGTCACACTAGTGCGATCTTTGTTCTAAAGAAACTTCATATAATTTAAAAAAAGATAACATGATGTTTTCGATGTCAACTTCAGATTGGATATAATCATAGAAGATATTTATATAATCATAGAAAATATTTCCACTCTACCTTATCTCTATGGTTCTTCGTCATCGGCAAGGTTTGCCTCACTTTGCTCTTGGTTTTGCCCGTTTGTCAATACTTACCACAGAGTACAATGTTTGTAAATAAAAAACTGAGTTTGATGAGATTACGATTTTCCATCAAGGAATGAGTCTAAAAGGTATAAAATTAGTAACTTTCGATGTTACCAATACTCTTTTAAAATTCCGTATGCCTGCTTGGCAGTATTATACTTTAATTGCCCGTGATCATGGCTTCACTGGAAACGAAGCTATCGTAGAAGGGCGATTCAAGGAGAGTTACAAAGTGATGCTAAATAAATATCCAAACTTTGGCAGATCAAAGATTACTTGGGAAGAATGGTGGACAGAAGTTATTAAGAAAACTTTTGAAGGACAACTCCCAGCTACCGCAAATATTTATACTATAGCAAACAAACTTATCAACGAATTTAGAACTGCAAAATGTTGGCGTGTTGAACCAACAGGAGACAGGCTACTTTGTGATTTACGACGGCAATGTAAAACTCTTGGTGTTATATCAAATTTTGATCCACGTTTGAATGAGATATTAAGAAATGTGAAACTCCAAAGTTATTTTGACTTTGTGTTGGCTTCATATCAAGTTGGATATAGTAAACCTGATAAGAGAATTTTTGATCATGCCATAGAGCAGTGTAAATATTTAGTGAAACCATCAGAAGCTCTTCATATAGGCGATGATCTCCACAAGGACTATGAAGGTGCTAAGTCTGCTGGATGGCATGCTATTCTTATATCTAACAGTCATAAACCAAAAGAATCACCAGAATCAAAACATGTGTTCAAGAATTTAGAAGAATTAAGTTTAAAAATAAGTGAAAACAATATACAGCTATGATAACTTTTTTTTTAAGTTTATTATTTCTGTCTGCTATCAGCCTCTCAGTATAATCAGACTAACTGATATTCCACACTTTGTGAGACCACACATTTGGTGGTCTCTTTTTTATGTTATGACTGGTATCAAGATGTGCTATAGCAGGTATATTTTTATTTCACTTTGATAGGCTAACAGATATCATCTTTAACATAGGGTATTTGCAAATATAATGTGCATTGCATAGAATTTTCAGAGCAAAATTCTGAAATTGCTGACATACTTCGATGTTAGAATGACTTGCTGAGCCCTGGAGTTCTATTCTGTTTGTCCAAATGGGTTTGATCATAGATTTGTTTATTTTTCAGACTGAGTACTGTTTGCCTTCCAATAAGCCAAAGCATTTCTCTTATTTTTATATTAACTTGATCACTTTTGACTTTTGTTATCTCTCCAAGTCAGCCTCCTTTGTTTTGTAAGGTAAGACAATATTGTCAAGTGTAATGGGGTACCCCCATTAGTCCTGTTTCTTCAGCGTAAAGGTAATGTGAGTTGATTTTGAAGTACTGGCTTTTATTTTCCATTTCTTTGACAACATCATTCAAGTGTGTTTGGAGTTATTTGATGCAACTTGTGGGTTCATACTGCACGAAAGTATAGCTGTAAGTGTAATCCCGCATATGTCACTGTCACACTTCAGCTGATATAGGCAAATCGGAAGTATAAACAGGAACTCCTAAGGAACTCCTATTATATCCCTTAGTTCTGATAAGCTAAAATTAACCTGATTACTTTTATAATTATTTTTATTTGTTGTTAATATAAATTTACTGAGTACTTGTTCATAATGATTTTATCAGTTTAGGTTCACCTTTTGTTTTTTAGAGTATGTATCTTGAATTTGATGTCAATTAATCATTTATTTGTGTATGTTATTAAACCATACATACAGTTTGTACAGTTTTGACAACACACAACATTGCACATTTTCATTTTTATTTTTTGTATTATATGTTCACTTTATGCCATGTAGTGTATGTGATGTGGGTTGTCAAGTAAGGTGTTTTGGGGTAATGCCAAAGCTGAGAAATTCAATCACCTATGTGATTGTTTATAGATGGTGGTTTAACTATAAACCACTATTTTAATACACTCATTACTTGGAAAAAAATCTGAATGTATGGAAAAATCAAATAAGGCTAATCAAAAACAGGGTCACATCGACAAAAGCTAACGATGTTCCTGCCCTTGGATGCAATGCACGGGACAACCCAAATACCGCTTCCCGCCCCTACATATTATCTGGATGTCTAATTATATAATGTGTATGACGAAAATGACTTAAGATATGTGAAAAGAAAAGCTTACCAATTATTTATTTTAATGGTATGGATACGATCAATATGCGGTTGCATAAAAAGGATTGAAAGCAAATTACAGCATAAACATTTGGAGAAGAAGAAAGAAAGAGACAAGAAAATTAGATAAAAGAAATGAACAGAATGAGGAATATCAATCAGTCCGTAAAATAACTCGAAACTTGGAACCGTGTAGTCTTATACGTAAAATCGTGCAAGCAGTTTTGAAGTTATGATTGCTTTAATTTCATCGATCACAGTAAGGCATGTGATTATAAAGCTGCCTTATTACAAATTTCACCTTGGTGCGCTATCGTTGAGATATAGCATAGATTCTACTAATGTTTTAAGGTGAAAGTTTGCAAATTTGTTACTTCTTCATGCCAAAACTACTGGGAATTATTAGTCTGGATTAACAAATAGGATTATTTTTATCCCACCCTAGGAATAGAACCATCTCCAAGCAAGCGAGTGCTAATAATAAACAAGTTCTAGCGACAGCAAATTTACACTAAAATTGCAATTATAGTATTAGCTCAAATTCATATTATACAGAAAATAAGCAAACTTATACCTTCTATGAGTAAATATTACTCCCGTAGAACCTTGTACTAGGTTCTATGGTTCTTTAACCTACCTTTGCTAAGTCTCATTTAATAATATGAATTTTTACTAATACTAAGTGCAGTCTCAGCGTAAATTTACTCCAATGCTAAACCTTATTAATAACACTATAAGATATATACGAATGCCTTCTAAAGAAAAGTTGGAGCTTTAAATTATCTATAAGAAAGTCCGCAATGGCATATATCTATGTGCTAAGGTTTTGCCACAAAAGGAAAAATCTTTGTTTAAGTGGGTTTAGTTTTTTTGTCCGTTTTAGACGATTATTTGAGTAGATGATATTGAATCCTTATCAAAATAAATATGTATGTTTTATTTTTACTGATATAGATACTGCCAGATTAGTATACTTCAGTTACTTTCATAGTGTTATGTCGTACGGTATCCTATTGTGGGGATGCTGCTGGAAATGCTGCCGACATACAAACAATTTTTGTGCTTCAGAAAAGAGCAATTCAATCAATTTATAATCTTAGGATTAGGGACACTTTAAGGGAGAAATTTAAGGAAATAGACATTATGACTGTTGCTTCTCAATACATATACGAGAACTTAATGTACGTTCGTAAAAATATTAGTTTGTTTTCTATAAAAAATGATGTACACAATTTTAATACAAGAAATAAAAATAAATTAACAGTGCCTGTCACTAGACTGCAAAAAGTTAATAACTCATTGAAGGGTCTTTGTGTGCAACAATTAGATATCATGCAGTTTAAATCTACTATTAAAAAAATACTTATTAAAAAAACTTATTATAAGGTATCCGATTATATAACAGATAAGAACGCTTGGACTTGAGATAATCCAGCAACTGGATAGGTGATTACTTCTAAACTCATTATCTTGTTTCCAATATTATTAAATGATTATGTTATTTTTGGGGCCGGTTTCACCGGTTGCTGATAAAGTCCCTGATAGTCTATCAGGAACTTATCTGCCAGATAAACTATAACTTTTGGTTTCACAGGTCTCGGATAAAAATATCTGGCAGATAAAGTGTTAGATATGTTATCAGCCGATTCAAGTGGCTGATATAGACGTTATCTGATAGATAAAAAAAAAGTTTCAAGTAGCGGGAACGAAAATAGTTTTAGTTTTAGACCATTATTGTGTGCTTTGCGTCGATTGCAGTCACGAGTGTCACAAATATTCTAAAATGGATTTATTTGAGTTTTTAGAAGACGAATTAGATGAATATTTCGAACATATTACGCGACCCCGTAGAAATCGAGTAATTAAACCTAGACCTAATTATTTAGAATCACTTGACGATCAAGATTTTTAGGAATCGATTTCGGCTTACCAAACGGGCTGTTGTTTATATTCTATCGTTAATAGAAAGTGATATAAAAACTACAACGGGCTACTAAGTAAAAAATAAAGAAGCTCCGTTTCTTCTTGATTAAAATTCACACTTCTTTCACGTTTTTGTTTTTCCATTATTAATTAACAAATACGAAAAGAATACACAAAGAAATGTTTAAAAACTGAAAAGCGTCTTCTTCTTCTTTTTTTTTAATTAATGGCTTATTTATCTGCGCATTTCGCACAATTCTGCCAATGTCAAGTAAATAAATTAATTTTACATGAAATATGAAAATGAAATGAATGAAAGATTTTAAGCATAAAATATCAACAAAGCAAAACATATGACAGTTGCGTTTCGTTTCTGTAAACACGTAGCTAAGTATACGAATATCGTATTATTTTCATTCTAGAATCATAAAATTATAATTCAAAATATGTGAAAAAAGTTTAATTAAATAATATTGAACATAAAAAAAAAATATTAATGAAGTTTTAAAAATGATTTTTGATTGACGATAATTTGGGTCGTAGTATTGAAACGCAAAAAAGCGACGTTGCCGTTCCGTCAACTAATAAGTGGCCGATAACTTATCTGCCGGATAAATTATCTAGCAGTTTGATGGTGAAACAGAAAAAAGTTAACAGCAACCTTTATCCGGTAGATAGCGTTAACTATCAGATAACTATCTGAAACTTTATCAGTAACCGGTGAAACTGGCCCTTAATCTCTGTTTATAATGTATTGATCTGGTAATGACATGGTTTTTGTAAATGTCATTACTCTTATTAGAGCTGGTGAGTTTCTTGCTCGTTCTTCTTATCAGCCAAAAGACGTCCTGAACGAGTGGTAGGGAAAAAATGTTGGACGATTCAAAAGTACTTTTAAGAAGTCTATTTGAATAAAGATTATTTTGACTTTGACTTTAAAAAACATAATGTACATAATAATTGCCTTTTATACCAAATTAATTAGATGAATTGTTTACATTTACTACTATGTTTTTGAGAAAAGATTATTTATTTATTTTAACTTATACTGTCGATTTTCTGAATACTATTTTGTGTGCATGTATCTGTTACTATTTACCAGCATTTTTATAATATATACGGTGACATGTAAATTATTGATATTATTGTGATCGTTTATAGGTGTCCACTCTTAAATGTCAAAAAAAAAACCCTGACTATCCCTGACCAACAGTGTCTTAAAATTAACACATTTTAATGTTTAATGAGCTATCCAACGAATATATGTTTTCTAAATATTTGCAGAAATGATATTCTAATTTTTTGACGTCTCACGCTTGGAACGGCAATGTTATTTTTTACTGATTTAAAAAATGGAAGTTATCTATTCGAGGTGTATTATGTTATTTTGTTGGAATGAATATTACACCATTCCAATATTTCGGAGGAATATTCATAGGTATACATATGGTGGTCTGTATGGGTTTCTAAACACGTATGCAAAATTTTATAGATGTATGTGGACAACCACGGATATCTCGCAAACTAGACGTCGGAACTTACACTACGACCAAGCTATTTTGATACTTTATCAATTTTTGTTAGTATTTTTATGGTGAGATTCATTATCGATTCCCGAACATTTTAACACGACTGCCCCCGAAAAGGAGTCTATTGTTTTTAGAATTAATGTATGTTTGTGAGTTTTTTATTACACCATAACTTTTAAAAGATATAACAGATATGAATTATAGTAGTAATTTCGTCCATGAGATAGGCGAAGGAACTAAGCCATGCAGCAAAATCTTGGGCTATATCCTTTATGGGTATCATTAGAAACATAATCCTCAGTTACTACAAATTTGTTTTTTTTTTGTTCAATTACCACAAACTACATAGAACCACATCAGTGACACTAGCTATATTTTTTAATATTAAAT